AAATGAGGCTAAGAATTCATTGAACATGCGATTCATTACACATTGAGGAAAATTCCAGTTTTTGCATTAGGATTTTTCTCGCAGAAGTGAAGTTAGACACTGCTCTGACATTTTTGGGACGAATTTCTTGGAAAGAAGTTTAGTGCTCAAATTTTAATAGCAAGTTTTCCTAGCACGAATTTGAAAAATCAAGTCGGGTCTCGATCTTATTGAAAATGAAGCTATTTATTCACAACTTGCTCTTGTAAGCGCGGTTAGAATTTTTTGTGATTTTATTAGCGACGTAGCTTTTTATTCACAACACGCCTCAGCGATCGTGTTCAAAATGTTTTCATTTTGAAAGTTTCTTTCTCTTGAAGACTTGATTTCGTCATTCTGCTTCGGAGGTTTTGGTATGGTGATTGAAGCAGGAGCTGCTGTCAATAATACACTCCGTGTATTCGTTCTCCGTTATTGTTGTGCAGAATTTTAAATTTTCTAATACTTTCAATTGTTTATATTTCACTCTACAACTTTCCAATACTTCAATTTATTGGACACTCAGTATAGTTTCCAAGATGTACGTCTGTCTAATCGTAGCGGCTGGTACAGTCGTCGTCAATACTATAGTCGAAATAGTACTTATGAAAAAATAGTACTTATGAAAAATGTACTTATGATGTATGTATGAAAAATAGTAGTTATGAAAATGGTTCCTGAGTGCCTTGAGTGATCTGGATGAAAAAAAAATACAACAAATATAATCACTAGTTCAGAATTTCAACCCTTGTAGAGAAACATGAAGCGAAAAATATAAGAGTGTGATTTTTGCGGAATGAGTTAAAAAAAGTATCATAATTCCAAACGTTAGTAGCTAATATGCAGTACTTTTATGGTTCGCGTCGGATACTTGGTGGCACGTGGAGACGGTTCGTGCCTTATAAATTGAAGTATGACCACCAAAAGTTCGGTAAAACTTGATCTCAATTGGTGAAAATAAATCTAAATAAGTGATATACATATAAGTGAAAATAAATCTAAATAAGTGAAATGTATGTTATATTAACCATTCCAGAGTATCTGGAGCTAAGATCGTTGACCCCGCAATTTTTTAGATTTAGTAATACTATGACATCATTAGTAATAAATGGGAGCAAAACTGTATAAAAATTAGAAGAATAACTAAGAAACAATTGGCGAATTTTTCATTTGAAGGAAGAATTAGCTATTTAAAATCAGCAAAGAGTCTCCGTTCGGACTAGAAAATCCCCGTTCTTAACGCAGGCGCAATCGGATTAGCTAAGCGAATGTTGCTTGCGGCAGATGTGGCTCACGCTACTACCCCCACCCCTCCTGCTCTTGAATGCGTTTCTACCTCCTTAGTACGAATAGTGTTTTCGTTGCGGGAAATGATTTAGACGAAATAAAATTTATGCGTAAATCTTCAAATTTTGGAGCATTCATAACTCTATTGTAACGCAATAGATTACTTTTTTTGCATAATTTTCTTCAATAAATATATTTTCGCTTTAACATTTCCTGCACTCTGCATCATAGTTATATTTTTCGTATTTATAAACAAAATTTGCAAGATAATATTATTTTACGAGTCCGAGAGAAGGCTGGTTAAGCACACGAGGAACATTCTGGCAACTTAATGACTCACGAAGAATAATTTATATGCACACGTGGCCCTATGAAGGCATCAAACAAAACACACTCTGCATCTTCCCTGCAACATTGAAACCGTTGAGAAGAAACAATAATTTTTAACATTCTAACTAATAGCCTCAAAGTTCAGATTAATTTACAAAAGTGCACAACAACGATTAGCACAGGATATGGTGCTGTTCAAACACGCATTGATTATGTTCAATTGTTTATATGAGATCACCTAGGTTCAGTTTCTCAGCCTTCTATTTAAAACCATCCAACACTAGCAATCGTTTTAGCAATTTTGAATCAAAGTGAGGAAGAACGACATAAACTGCATATTGCAATAGATTCGCAGCGATGGTGCCGTATTGATCTTTTTGTTGTTCAATTTTATTTGCTCAAATTGAAATGATTCACCGCACGAACCACCATCAAATATAAAAGCAGTTTATGCAATTACTTCATGCAAAAGAAGCACAGGCAAATGCATTGCTTTGTTAATCCAGACTCATTTGGCTTTATTGATCGTTGTTGCTGGCTGCAGCTCTTGTTTCTATGACCACGGAAAGTTCACCTAGTCAGCGGCCACTGCCTGTCGGCTGCTCGCTCTCCAGGCTTGTTTGTTGGACGTCGCGCGGCACCGTTGCTATACCTGCCATTCCGAGCTTACAAAGAACTTTCAAGCAACACTGTGTTATTTTACATCCACTTGAGAATTCTTGTAGATTGCTCTCCGTTATCACGTATTAATAAGCGAAAATAGTGAAATTTAAAGTGTTTTTGAATATGTGAGTTCTGTAAGGATATTTCTAAGTTGGACTCTCGCGGTCAAGATGTTTTGATGAGAGTTGTCATGAATTTCGTCCTCTTTTATTCTGCGACCATTCTAATTCAGGGCTGGCTGACAGTGCCATAGTGCTTGGTGTATCATGTTGCTGGCGGCGCAACAGCACACAAAAATTTGGTACCTAAAGTTCATGTGCTTTCCTGTTAATTTTTCAGCGTTTTTCATTAACCATCAACTATTAGTGCGATTTGATTTGTTTTTGATGTTCCTGTACTTGACACTGATGATTCTCTCCGCATTGATAGCTGTGTCGAAATAGTTTTCAACATTACCGTACAAGAACCCGTCTGGAAGGCTAAAAGTTTAGTCACTTGAGAATCAGAACCTGTTGGAGGGAAGACTGGAGGAACATCAACGGATCGAAGCGTGTCGCGTGCATCCGTGTTCACGTCATTAAAACTAACTATATGAAACGTTCTGCTTAGATTATAATATGAAAATTTGTTTGCAGAGTTTATTGATATTAAAATTTCGTAACTATATCAAATTGCTGGTTTCTGACCATGAGGAACAATTCTTGATGCACACATGTAAAAATAACTGCAAAATAGTCTACCAAGTAAGCAAAACATATCAGCGATCACTTTCGTTTCGCATGAACATCGACTGGATTCGCTTGTTATATAATTCTCAACGATGAATTATTTCCTGACGCTACACACGTTGAATTGATTAAATTATTTGCTCATTTCGGTAGTATTAACCTCATTGGCAGCATTGGTAGCTGCGACCTCTCAATGGAACGATTTCCTAGAAGGAAAAGTAGTTCGACCGCGCTGGGTGCCATGCCGGCTGCCAGACGCACCTGTCTCGCCCATATTATTATCAATTCACAACGTTTATTGCCGGTTTTATCGTTTTGAATATTGCTGGCTAAACTTGAAGTGTTGTATTGATAATTGTTTATAATTAGCTTCTGATTTTCGGCGAGCTAATTAATCAAACTTCATTATTTTCAGCCGCCCGAGGTTGAGAGAGAGAACAACCCATTCCGAGAAGTTGGCAGCAGGTCAGTTTCCTTGAACTGCAGTAGCACGAAAATTTAGGCCTTGAAGCTGCAAAACCTACAGGCTGATCGCTCTCAATACCCTAAGTATGACGTTAAAATTAATAAAATATCCATGAATTCTAAAGAAAATAAAGGTTCTGGAAGTGCCGCTCATACGTACCAATCCCTAATTGGGTACTAATGCGTACGTACCAATGCCAGAGAATATTTTCCTGCTTACATCTCTTTCACATACTTCAAATTTTTAGTTGCTTCATCGCACTTGTAATTTTGAGAACTCAAATCCGAAAAAAGTTGAATCAGCCGTTCATTTAGTTTCATTTCAATCGAAATTTTATTTTGTCCTATGAAGAAATGAAAAGATGCTTTCCAGAGCTCAAGACATCGTTGAAGAAGGCTGGCTCATTTTCTTCTAGAATTAGTTTACTTTATTGTCTTCAACGGACAGATACTGAGGCTAAGCAGATGAGGGTTGGGTCTGAGCAACGAAGTAGCTTTTATTCATCTAATTAATTTTTAAACTCGCCGTTTGGGAAGATTGCTCGTTTACTTAAATAATATAGTAAACCATAATGAAACATTTTTATATTAGTGTGGATAATTAAAGACATTCTCCTGTTTGAACTGACGTTTAATCTTCAAGTTAAACAGCATTTTCTGACCTGATCCCTTAAGACATGTTGCTTCGAGAGCAGCAGAGCGAGAGTTAGCCACCATGAGGCCATGTTTACCTAACCATGGAGATGGAATACTGAGAAAAGAATTGATTTTCGATTGATGAGCTGACAGCGAGCACGAGAGTGAGAGTACCTGAGTGGTTAGGGGTTCTTGGTCGATGATGACGAGCTCCTCTGTTGGCTCAGGTCGAAACCTTCCTCGAATGATGGCGGCAAAAGGTGAACGTACGATAACAGAAGCTATATGTTATAATAAATAGTACGTAAATATGTACTTTTATTGTAACTTTGGGTGGAAATTATGTTGCAAAATCAGGTTCTCAAACATAAAGATTATGGTACCTGATGTTAACGCGTAACGAAGCAGCCGTAACCAAGTTTCTAAGAGTCAATTTCAAGTTGATATCAAACGCAGTTTGCTTTAAAATCTTCTATTCAACTTTGAATGCACACACTTAATAAAAGTGAAACAATTTAAGATTGCCTTGCCATAGCGTGCACAATAAAAATTATCTCTAAAAAAACAAAAGCAATGAAGTAGAAATACCGTTACTCCTTTAGAGTCTTCAATCGGCTCTGTAAACCTGGAGTATTTTAGAATTATTACTTCGACTGCACGTTTCCTACGGAAATCTGCATAATATTTAGGGATCATCGTCCACAAACAGTTTACATTGATTCTCACTGATGTTTGATGTGCCTTATATCCCTGCAAGTTCCGCAATGGCATATACAGTATCACATTAATTTTGGAGCATTATAACATTGAATGAAGACGTATACAATTTTTGACGTTTTTTCTTATTTCGAATTTTCAGTTTTAGCTTCGTTAGACATGCAGACAGCTACAGACTAAAAAAACATGTGCGTTATGAATTCATTTTAAAAAGTGGAATTGGAAGGCATCCGCTAACCTGTGCTGATACTTTAGCTATTATTTATATTCTGCTCCAGTTTTATACCTAACAGAAGTCAAATATTGTGACAATTATAAACTTCTTGCGTTGAAGTGACCTAATGATGAGCGTCTCAAGATCGAAGGAGCCTTAAATGATTTCCAATATTAAGATTCACAGAGATACTAACAACGATTCTGTGAGTGAATTCGCCAAATTGTGTAAAATCTTTACTGATAACAATCGGTCTTATGACAAAAAACGACTTATCTCAGCGTTGCGAGTTAGAAGAAATTTTACGCGACCGAAAAAAATTTCAGTGAAGACTCATATACTTTATGCCATTCGGTGCTGAATTTGGTGCTCCTGAAAAACTGTAATTTTCAGTACATGTTATTTCTTTTGACTGCTCCTAAGTTTTTTCCAAAGAAAACCTAATATTTTAGTGAATGAGTTGAGAGATAAGTTGACTACTCCTAAGTTTTTCTATAAAGGAAACGTAATATTTTAGTTAATGAATTGAGAGACAAGTGAGACAAAACGATGCCAGAGACCCGGGCTGTGGACACACCGCAGCAGGGGGGTGGGGAGCACCTGAGTTAATGAAGATGATGGAAAGAAGGTTCTGGGAGCAGCAGTTCAGGAAGCTTCTGCCTCACAGGTCCGAGCCCAGCCTCACCGCCATCAGGTAGTGTACTCAGCATTGCACTCTCTATACTCAGTGTACTCAGCAGTGTACTCAGTGTACTCAGCAGTGTACTCAGTGTACTCAGCAGTGTACTCTCTGTACTCAGTGTACTCAGCAGTGTACTCAGTGTACTCAGTGTACTCAGCAGTGTTCTCTCTGTGCTCAGTGTACTCAGCAGTGTACTCTCTGTACTCTGTGTACTCAGCGATGTACTCTCTCAGTCTTTCTGTACTCAGCACTTACATGATGTAGTTGTAACCATGTTACCTTTATAGTATTTAATTTCAGTGAGGCTATAGGCTATAACCCTTATAACCTCTTAAGGCTTGTTCACATGCGGTTCTTTAAGCTGTATTTTTTTGTTCCACAAGTGTAAGTCCAGCACAATATACATGCGCCGGATTTACTAATCAATGTTAAAATACATATTGAATTAATTTCAGTTTACCAATTTAGCTGAGAGCGAAAAATGAAAAATGAATTTGACTTTCTTGCGCTACATGAATGGGAGGACAGCATAACGATCATCATTAATAAATGTTTATTTTCATGATATAATATTTAATAAGACAAATCAATTTTGAAAGAGTAACTATGCACGATGAGAAATACCTCTCGATTTCTCTTCGAAACAATACAATTCAGCCTTTCTATGCACTCCTGCATCTGTACGAATTGATAAATTTTATATTGTAATTAACCAGGAATTAAAATCGTACCATGATCAATATATGTAGAGTACAGTTAATTTGCACATGATCCAATGAAAATACTCGAAATAACTTAGGTTAATAACCATTGATATATGTAAGAGCACGCGATCCGCTCTACTTAAAGTCACTTGTTCTGCATTCCAAAGCTAAACTCGACGCTAGGGCCGATTGTAGACTTAGATCTTGTCCACCCACACTCGACAGGTGAGCTTGTTAGCAAACAGCTAATTCTGGTTCTATAATTTTGTACATAGACCTTGAAATGCCCACGAAAGCAATACCTACATGACTGTTCAATCTCGACTGGTCGGACCTGAACGGCCGAACCTACCGTCCCGCAAGCTCAAATATCGTTGCCTTATTATACTTTAGATTTTCCGGGTTACATTCCATTACTTTACGTAACTCAGCTTTACTTTACTGCACTTAATGTAACTGTTCTTTGCTACCGTAACTTTTCCGTCACTTTGTCGTAGTTTTGCGTCGCGTAGCGCCTGAAGTTGACTCCCCTTTATTTATCATTCTTTGATCTATTGTTAATAAATGTTTCTGTTTACTCCTGAAGTTGTATTGCATCCACCCCATACGTTAAACGAACCGTATCCCTTGACAATATAACAAAAAGTCTTTACCAGATTCATCAGTATTATGCCGTTAAACAAAGCATTCTCAATTAACCTTTGCATTAGCTACGAAGCATGACCAAATTCGTCTTCTCTATAATATGGATAATTTGAGCTCTTCATCAAAGTATTCCTTTGCATTTTACACAAGGGTTGCCTGATGGCCTTTTCTCCGCAGAAAAAAGGCCTTTAACTCAATATATCTTTGTATATTTGAAGGTTCCGGTATAAAAATTCCATTTTAATTTTCTCTTACTTTTTAAAATATATTAAGGAAGTACCGCTATAATAAATTTTAGCTGGCCAACGCAATTGAAAAAAAACTGAATCGCGGAATCTGTCCGGAAAAAAGTTTGGTAACCCTGTTTCACACAACCTCAGCGACCGTGATATTAGTGCAAGAAACATGCGTACCTGATAACCTTTTCAAAGTTCATTTCCCTAGGCCTGTAGTTCCCCAACCTTTTGGGATTGCGTACCACTTGTATGTCCTACCACCAGGTACCGGCGGCATACCAATAAATAATATTACATAAAAGTTGTTGATATTTGGTAAATATGTGATTTATTCTGCTAAATGTGCTACAAAGAAGCTTAATATTTAATGATATTGTGAGAATAAATGGCGAGCATTGGCAACAGGTGGGGCGTGTGTTTCATATCATCGCTAAATTATCTTGCATGAGGCATTAAACTTTCTTGTGAAGTAAAAACTGCCTAATTAGATCGTACCACTAATGTGTTTGTACACCATCTGTGATGCCTTCGTACTGTAATTATTAAAGCACTGCCCTGATGGCTTATATTTCCACCGTCAAGCGCTGCTATTGAATAGTTTCCAAAGCCATGACAGTTTCCGACAAACAACTTTTCCGAACTTGCTGGGACAAGTTCAAACTCCGGTGCAGTTCCAAAAAATGGTAATCTTCCATATTAACATGACTAGTTTTTATAGATCTTTCCAAGATAAGAGCTGCAGCAAGTAAAGAACGTACGTAAAAATATTTGTATATGAATGCGTAAAATAATCCTTGGTTTGTGAATAACAAAAACAACCTTTGTTTTCTGTATCATAGATTCTACTATTCCCGAGAGAGATACTTTTACACGACTGCAGGATGAACTACAAATCAGAACGATGGCAAAGCTGCCTGATAGAGAGAAATAATTAGAGGAAAAAAAATTGCGGCCGGCTGCTGGGCCGACGTTGATGCGGTTAGAAAAATTTCCAGCTGTTGGTAAATTGTGAACAAATGTTCGCTGTTAGGACGATTTATCGTGGCCGTATCTCTGGATAACTCGCCTGCGACTGCCAAGATTTTTTTTTCAGGCACAAGTTTGGTTTTACAGTTAAAGTTACGTACGTCTTCTTGATTCTTTTAAGTACTTAACCCAATTGTGATACTAGGTCACGATATCAAAGTTCATGTCATACTGTAGTTCGATGAAATTAATAGAATTACATTAAGATTGAGGAACTCCTTTTCAAGTGTAAATCGTTTGAATGCCATTTGCTTGCGCGTACGATTTTGTATTATCAGAATTAGAACTTGAGCAGGGATTAGTGAAATCAGTTGCAATATATAAATAATTTTCTTTTTCATGCAACAGAAAAAAGTTTTATCGCAGAAATACCCTTAAATCACTATAGGTTAAGCACAATGGTTTTTATACGTTTATTAATACGATACGGCACAATGGTTTTTATACGTGGCTATGATTTTCTCATGTCATGACAGTATTCACTAGAAGTGCTTGTTTCCGTAAACTTGGAGATCGTACATGCGCCTGACAGGGTAAGAATTACAATCTCTTTTGTATCTCATAAATGGTTCAAAATATCACCGAAAATTCCCATCCAATTCATTTGTAAATATGGTAAGACTCATTGTTAGGTTTCTCATGGCTGTTCATAAACAGCAGATACATTTGTTGAGCCAAGTATTACGCAGCGGCAGTCATGCGTTCTGTACGATCGACATACGCTCGCCTACACTGGCTGAAGGATCGCCGCGTATCGTTCAATACGCAAGCTATGCGTCACTCACTCGTTCTTTTACGTCACTCACAGTCGCAATGACGTCACTCAACTCGCGGTCGATGTACAAGCATGCAAACTTCACGCATAATTACTATTACTTGGTCAATAGTCATTCCCCGACAATGACCGACGACGGAAACCCACGATGTGGCGACAACTGCGAGTACAGAGCACGAACTCTATGGCAATAATTGTGATAATAATATATATGTGACATATTCTATTCACAATTCAGGAATGAAAAAAATTTCAAATTGACTTATTATTTATAAGAGTATTTGGACTCGTAATCAATACGACAAATGGTATCGCCCGAGTAGAATATTTCTTATGAGAGAAAATGCGAGTCGAACAAATTCATAAAAATAACATACAATTTGAAAATTTTGGAGTGATCTCATGATTCGTATTTGCCGTATGGCGTCATGGTGACGTAACTTTGTTAACTTCTGCTCACTTGACCTCTGATAAAATAATGCTAATATTCGGGTAATTAGTTACGCAAATGAACGAATAGTAGGATAATATTCGAGAACGTTGCATTATGGATATAATGAAACGTTACAATCACAGCTAAGTGCTCAAGTAGATAAGTTTAATTGAAAATTAACTGAAAATATTCTAGTCTAATTTAAATCTACGGTAATCACATTACATATTTAAGTTACTATAGTGCATTACAAGTGAGGTCTTACATTAAAGGATATGAAGCTGGTCGCTCGAAACAGCCTGTAATTGAATTGATTTGCATATCTATACATTTTATTTATATATGAGTTGTGTTAAAGAGAAGCTTTTTGTGTTGCACATTCGAGAACGAAATCAAAATACTGGCCATAACTTATCGCTTCGTGTTACTAATGAATTTACTGCGAAAAATGGAGCAGATAACCATTTACTATCAACCGTACCAGGTAGTGTCACGAACTATGCCATGAACTGTGCCACGAATTATGCCATGAACTGTGCCATGAACTGTGCCACGAACCGTGATATGAATTTTGCCACAAACTGTGCCACGAATTGTGCCACGAACTGTGCCACGAACTGTGCCACGAACTGTGCCGCAAATTGTGCCGTTAACTGTGCCATGAATTTTACCGAAAACTGTGCCACGAATTTTACCACGAAATGAGCCACGAACTGTACCACGAACCGTGCCTCGAACTGTGCCACGCAACTCCAGTCGTCACGACAGCTTGTCAAAGATCACTATTGATTACAACTGGTGAAGGGAGGAGTAGGGAGATGAATTTGTGGGGGTGAGGTGGAGGGAGTTGTAGTGTTGTAGCTTGTGAAAGGGGGTCGGGGGAGTGGACTGTCAGTGGGGGCAGGGGTGAGAGGGGAAAATGAAAATAGGGATGTGGGTTACACTGCTATGAAAACGAAAAGGTTGAATACAAAACATTAATTATGGGAGTTATGAAATATTGGAAAAGGGAAGGTTGGATGAGGGATTGTAGCCGAGGTGTTGTGAGCACTAAACAAAAGCATCAAATATTAGCAATTGAGTGAATCAATCTGCAATAATTTTCGACGATTGTTTTCAATCGCGCAGCCATTGGTACTCCCCGACGAAATAACTTCTGACGTTAAAAACATGAATTAAACGAAACTTTCTCA